TCCTTAGCTCTTCGAGGATCCGTAACCGAGATCTCGCTGCCATCTGATCTCCCCCGCTCCACCACATCCCAGCATTCAGGAGTGATCTACTGGGTTTCAAGCGGGCTTCCATTGTTGCCAATCTCCCGGCCCGGTTCTCCGTGATCCTGTAACTTTATAGACCCTCTTGTCAAGCCTGGCAAATCCCTGGACGTTGGCACAAACTACCGGGATACTGCAGACACCCTGGCACGAAAACCATGCACCTGAGACCGTGACTGCTCGGGACTAATGCGAGATGGTGGCCTTTTAAGCTAGCTTCAATTTCCTTCCCCGTCGCAGATTGGTGTGAGTGGACTATTTTCGAGCGCCAATATTTCCATCAAAACCCGCTGGAATCCTTTGTACAAATTCCTCTCCCTCATCTTCGCTTCGAGCTTGGAACGTACACGATCAATCCATCTCGCTTTGCTGCCGCCTGATCCACATTTGTCCGACCCTCTACTCAATTCTATCACTGTACCTTGAATATCGAAAATTAAATTGGTATGTGAAAAGCGCCTACGTCCCGATAGAAAGGAAGCTATTGCTAAGTCGCCTGGATCCTTTCAATAGATACCCCTTTCTGGGACCTTAACAATCCAACAGAAAGCCGAGATTCAGCCGAAGACGATCTCGTCGACTCGTTCCAGACCAAGTCATTTCCTTGAAACCATCCGCATTTAAGGACACAAAGCCACCGAGCACATCATCACACTGGTTGTTGTCTGGGTCTGTTATGTAGATGGTCAATTGTGTAAAACACTCTGACCCCACATATCATCCGCCATGCCAACCTCCCAAGCATCAAGAGGATCTGGCTCCGGTTCTGCCATAGGCCCACGTTGCTACGTTGGACCCTTCGGTCGTATGTTACCCATAGATGGCCCATCCTCGGAGCAGCAACCCGAGCTTCCAGCTAATTTACAAGAACCCGGGGAACACCTATACCAGCTTCCACCCCCGCGGGTACCGACTAGTTTACAATTTGGATCTGATCCCTTTCCACGGCAGAAAAACAGTCCCGAGCGCAAAGACAGTGGATCAGAGCCCCAGAAGCCGGAGCAACTTCCCTCCGTGAGGCAGATACTCACTCCAACACCGGGGACAAATGCATTGCAATACTCTCAACCATTTGCAAGTTCGACACCCAACACAGGGCGTCGTGGATCTGCATACCCTCACTATCACGATCCGACTTTCCAGGTTCCAGCATCTGCACCTGATAGAGGCCGTGCTGAATCTCTTCCGCAACTGCATGGTCTGCCTTCATTGTCACAAGTGGGTCTGCAGGGCCATAGAGGTATAAGAAGCCAGACACCGACAAGAAGTGATCCACCCGCTGCATCTTTTATACAGCTACCCTTTCACACATCCTCGCATGGTCAAGTACCAAGTGGGGAACTGTCATCACCGGAAAGTTTAAAGCGGTCAAATAACCAGCCCCTTCGCCCCCATGTGGTAGATGAGCGAGTCATTGACGGGGAACTCTGCTTCGTATATGCAGACGGATCGTCCTGTCCAAAATTCATTGACGGTACACCCGTCAACGCAAATTGGGGGATAACGAAGGCCGGCAGGCCGAGAAAACGCCTCGGACTTGCCTGCTTGACTTGCCGCGAGAAGAAGATCAAGTGTAACCCAAACCCAACTGCCGAGGCCGTATGTGATCAATGCCGGAAATCCGGACGGGAATGCAGGTTCGAAAGTGCGTAAGTGCGATCGTAATCTCCGAGAATATGCGTCCAGGGACTTTCCTCGTTGAACCATTGCTGATCCCTCAAAGCCCGCGGGGTAGCCGTCCTCCCATGAGAGGGCCAGCAGGGCCATCTGGCAGACCCGACTCTTACGCCCCCACCAACCACGGGGCTTTGGACGTTTCTCCGTCACTTTACGACATCACTCGAGCCTCGGACAGTGCGACCTCCCTTCCTGGAACTACCGGCCACTCACCGATGCCAGAGAGCTCGATGCTCACGCCGTCATCCCAAGAAGCCACTTATGAAACGATGACCGAGGCAGACAGAGGTTTGAGATCCCGATCCTACCAATTCCCATCGCCCTTATCCGGTACAGATGAAACTCTTGGACGACCATCGCCACATATCGAGTCTGTTCGTTCTCCCGAATACTCTGACATTCTGGGGAAACTCAAGGGCAGCAATTCGGACGACCCAATCGCGGCGTCCTGGAACCTGGACCCGTACGAAAGCGACCCAGAGTCTGTGGCTCACTACACCGAGTGTTATTTCTCGCACGTGAATGACGGTATGTGCCACATGTTCCCGCGTGGACGATTCAGCTCGTGGTTGAAGACCTGCCCCATCAAGTCTGCACACGACAAGATGCTCCTTTATTCTATGATGGCTCTTGGATCTGTGTTCTCCGACAGGCCAGAAAAAATGGCAGCTATGACGCTATATTCTCGTATAGCACGATTTGCTATCAACAGAAGCCAGCATACCCTCTCTTTGCAACTCGCTCAGAGCCATATCATAATGAGTCTGTGGTACTACGCTACGGGGTCGCTGGTCGGATCTTGGGACTCGATAGGCGCAGCGGGAAGAGCGGTCTTTGGGCTTCGCTACAATGTGGAATCTGGCGGCGTTGTTGTGGATCAAAGCCAAGTGTGTGAATACGGGTTACATCCACAGGCCTTGATTGAGTGCCGACGACGAACTTTCTGGATTGCCTTTGTACTTGATGTAAGAAATCGCGCATCCCCCGATCAGAAACTCAATCCTAGTTACTGACAACTACCAGCGCTTCTCGAGCCTCTATTCCGCTTCTTCGACTTTCATCTCGTCGGATGCAGCCATGCTGAGGCTCCCGTGCCGAGAAGAAATATACGAGACTCAGCAGTACGCGACAGTCCCCTATTTCCAATCATTTCTCAACCACACCCCAGCCTCCACAGGCGATGATCGCTCTACCCTAAGCCCAATGGCCTTTTTAATCGAGATCATGGCTATTTGGGGGGACATCTCGCTCCATATAACCCGGCTACCACACATCCCACTTGAAGCGTACAACCGACTTGCCGAAGAATTCAACACCACCATCGTCCAAAAATCCAACCAATGGATGACCCGACTTCCCGAATACCTGTCATTCTCGCCCACAAACCTAGAACGAAGCATTCATCAAAAAAATACAGACACCTTCATTTCAACCCATTTGTTCTACCACGCCAGTTTGATGAAACTGTACAGACACGCCCGCTACCAGAGCCTCCAACCCGAAACCCTAGGCCAATACATCCACCGCGCTCGATATCACGCCGTTGAAATCCTCCGCATCTCTCTTACCTTCGACCAGTGCGCCAAAAAACTCACACTTTCTCGACACAACACAGAGACATCCACATCCAAATTAACGCCCTTGAACCCCTTCCTCGGCTACGTGATCTTATCAGCCGTGGAAGTCCTCAGCTCCGCTGGTCTGGCGTCTCAGTTGCACGAGTGCATCTATTATATTAGAGGTGCGCTAGATGCCGTCCACGAACTCGGCCGTTACTGGGATAGCTCGTTGCAACTAGTCACCGTTCTCCACAGACGCCTGAGTCTGATGATGACCTGCCTGAATGAGCGCAGCGTCTTCGCTGAGAAACAGGGCTTTGCTCTTGATGGCCCGCCGCTCGAGACGAAGGTCCATGCTGGCGCTTTGCATTCCCATCCGCCTTCGACAACGGATGATGATCTTTTCACTGGTTCTATGCCTAGAGAGATGCTTTTGAATGCTCTGCGGCTTGATGAGACATTCATATCGGAGAGTGGTATTGCTTGGATTAGAGATCCATGAGAGGACTTTTTTCCTCTCGGCTCTATTTCCCTCCTCCTGTTGGTCCTCCTCTTTGGTCGAGTTCCGGAATTGGCGTGACGGCGTAATTGATCACCTCGATGGTTTTTCCAGTGGTAAGAAATCTTGTTCTCTCTTATCTTGTTACGAGGTGATGGATGCATTTCAATAATGATGGTGACTTCGCTGATTGATTTGAAAGTATCGTTGCTATGTATAGATGGGACTGTGACCTACATGACCTGACTTTGCCTCTTATCTGTATATTATAGTATGTCATTTAATTTCTGCTTTTTTCATGCCTTTGAGCGAGCGCTCTGCTACTCCTCATGTACTTATATCCTTTGGGAGACAAGAGAAGCTTAATTGAAGCCAATGGGATAAATAAAATAGTGATTTACTAAGGTTTCACCATTTTATTACAAAATCATCTAGAATCCTATGCTGCTATGATACTTTAGCTGGGAACTGCCCCGAATAAATAAACCTGTCTTCAACAGTATCCATCAGCACCGCGTAATGAGTATCTTCATTAACAATTGGGTTCGAGCAAACCCACCCAAGCACGAGTAACCGACAATTCAGACTCAGGATCGTCCTTCATATTCCGTTTCCACTTCAGATGAATTGACGGGGAAGAGTAGCATCCTTTAGACCTTGCTAGCAGATATCTTCAATGTACCAATCATTTTCGCAATTATCTATTAAAACAGACATTTCCACCCATCTATCTACGTAATATGAACCGCGAGACCCATGAGATCTATATCTATATGCAATACTCATAGTACTAATACTAATTAATGTCCGCGGGTGGTCACATCACTCCAATTGCCCTAAGCCAATAGGAATGGAGTCTCGGGTTGGCACCCGAGAACAAAGCCATTGTATTCAAATGGTCACCGGGTCAATGTTTCATATTCTATAGACTCGACATTTGAAACCAATATGGGATTATCTACTTGATAATAAGCTAAAATAGATCTGCAGTATATCATTTCCCCCAGTCAATGCTCCACCATAACACCTCCGAGCGGGGATTCCAACGGAGATGCGGAAGGTTTCTCCGGAATTTCGATTTCCCTCCTCACCTTGTTTCATTGCCCAATCGCATTTCATCCAACCACCCCAAAATGGGGATATAAATATAGATATCAAAAAAACCGAGTGCGTGAAAAGCTCTCATGTCCTCTTTCAAGCAGCCCGGGACGCACGAGTTCCCCGGCGCGGAGTTCCGCACGACGGTGGAAGATGACGGACTCGACGCCGACTATAGCATGATCGGCGACTACCCAGAGGAACCCGACTATTATGTCCAGCTGGGCCTTGCGCGCGATCCGCCCCCAACAGACGCCGAGATCCGTTCCGCCTACCGCAACTTAACCCTCAGCTTCCACCCCGACAAGCAGCCGCCGCATCTCCGCCATGCGGCCGAGAGTCAGTTCAGACATATCCAGGAGGCGTATGAGACCCTCATCGATCCAAATAAGCGCATTGTGTATGATATATCGGGTGCAGCGGGCGTGCGGCAGGAATGGGGTCAGCGCGGAGTCATGGGGATTGGTGGGGAGGCACAACGGCTGGATGTTGGTGTTAAGGCGATGTCGCCGGATCAGTTCCGGCGCTGGTTTTTGAAGACGATGAGAAAACGGGAGCGGAAAGCTGTCGAGAGTTTAGTTTCCAGCAAGGTATGCAATTTCTGTATTGATCTTCCTTGGGAAGTTGCGCGAATGAGCTGTTGCTAACATTTATTGGGTTTGGTTTAGGGCGGTATTACCCTGGGAATCAACGCGGCATCTATGGTTTCCGTCGACGAGGACGACGATGTGCAGTTCCATATACCTTCACCGAAAGTGACATCATATGGTGTTTCGTATAGTTTCAAGACGCCGGTGTCATTACCACAGCTTTGGGGCACGGCAGAGAATGAGGAAGACACCTCGGGTGTGGAACCGGATTCAGGGGAAGATGTGCCAGACGAGGAACAAGAGCACATGCATGTGATTTGGAATGCGGGTGTAACTGGAGGTTTGGCTCGCCCGATCAAGAAAGTCGCTGTTGAGTACCAGGATGGGACAGAAGGGGAAGAAAGGGTATGATGTGCTGCATGTTCGCATCTCGAAATTTCGCTAAACATTTTTCAGATCGAAATGCCACCGCTCCTGGCAAGTCAGAATTTCCAATTTGGGGCCACTGTGACTCCCAATTTCCAAAACCTGGTAGGCACCAAGGGAATCTGGGCCAAACATCCTTTCTCTCTCCTCAAGGATTCCCAAATCAGCTTCAATGCTCTTCTTCTCCCTGCCCCAACCTTGAAAGCAAACATCGCCCGGGCCTTCCAGCCAATCCCCGGCACCAAGCCGTTCCAGGTCAGCGTGACCAGTATACATACGCGCTCTTTGGGGGAAACGGCGCCTTCTTTTGAGATTCAAGTTTCCAGAGAAATTGCCAAGCAGAAGATCGGTACCATGACATGGAACAGTGGTGTCGTTCAGTGGCCCGAATTTCTTCTCAGCCAGTTCCCATCAATCGGAATGGGAGCTCAGAGTGCCATTGCATCTGCTAATGAGGTCAGTAACCTGCAGTTCGGTCTAATCTCGCTCCCCAAGCAGGGCCAAGCTGCAATCGATTTCGATGACGACGACGAGGAGAGTGGAGAAATGGACGAGGATGTCCGTCATCTGCTCAAGAAAAAACGCCAAATCGACCAATCTGCCGAGGCATGGCAGACCTATCTTCAGGTCACTCCCGGCGGAGGCGCTTTTGTCTTGAGTTATTCTCGAAACCTCTTCTCCGGGAAACCCGCTGATGATCCGGTCAAGACTGAATGGAGCTCTGAAGGATACTTCCCGATGCCGAGCATGGACCAGGCCCGTGCTGTGCGACTCGAGATCTCGAGTGTTCTTGGGTTAGACATGACTCTTAATTGGACCATTAAGGGTGTTCGTCGGGTTGGCGAGTACACGCGTGTTGGGCTCGGTATTGGCATCGCAGACAAGGGTATCATGATGACAGTTTCATGGCATCGACTCGGTCAGAATATTAATATTCCGATTATTGTTTGCCCGGCTAGTGAGGCAACAAGCGGAGCCGCAGCGCTGACCGCTATATTCCCTTGGCTGGCCTACTGCGCGATTGAGTTTGGCTATATTCGCCCACGCGATAGAAAACTCCGCCGGCAGGCAGCTGCTAAACGCCACCGTGAGCTCAAGAAGTTGATCCCTAAGAAACGTGAAGAGAGTCTCCAGGCCATCGAGCTCATGACCGATCAAGTGCAAAGGCGCCAAGCGCGAGAGGAAGCACAAGACGGTCTGGTCATTCAGAAGGCAGAGTATGGTTATATACCGCCAGTAAACAAGAAACCCAAAAATGGGTTCGCGGAGCCTCGGGTGATTGATGTCACGATCCCTGTGGCTGCGCTAGTTAACCGGGGTCAACTGGTGATTCCCGGAAAAACCATCAAGGTAAGTCAGGCCATAGACTTGAATTAGTCAATCTTCGCTAGAGCAGGATACTAATTTAGATGTGTCTAGTTTCAAATTTTGGGATTCCACGACCCTGCGCCATTGCTGCCCAAACGGTTGAAGATCTGGTATAGATTCCAGGGGCGCGATCATTTTGTCGAGGCAGGTGATAAAGAGGACATCGCATGCCCCATGCGTACGCACTTTATATCCGAATGAGTATAATTAGACTCATCAGAAGGTCGAAGAACCTCTACCATGTAATTTATAACATCCAGTCGTTCATTAGCGACTTATTATTTCAACCTCCATTCTGATGCTTTTACTCCCCTTTATGTTTGTACTAAATAGTTGCTCAGCTGCTCAGCTGCTATAAATGCAGGATTGTCATAATTTGAAGCCTTTCTCCCTGTAATTATTCTAATAATATCATTATCTTGTACAAATAAGCCAGCCCAGTGACCTCGAATTGTTGCTTAACGTCGGAAAGTCTTGGCATAATTCGATACGGCACTCCATAAAGGCCAGCCGTGCAGTTCGTCCCGAAAAGCTAAATGGAGCGTCACCCCGTGATATCTTCTCATCAACCACGAGTGCACAGCTCTTGAGTTGCTTACTCTTGAAATGTCGACCTCTATCGCTGCAGGGCTTTTCAAGTCCCTCCCCAAACCGAAATACTCTGGCGAGGAGGAGGAGTTGCCACAGCATGCGCAACCTCGTGGCCCGCGCGTGGTGGGCGCCGACCAGATTGATGAAACACAGGTGGTCCTACGGGTGAGTTTTGGATCATTATATTGACATACCAGTACAATAACTAATTGATTCTATCTTTCAGAGGACCGGACCCCCGCCCTACGGAAACCGTGCAGGATGGCGACCTCGCGCCCCCGAAGATTTCGGGGACGGCGGCGCGTTCCCCGAGATCCTAGTCGCCCAGTACCCCCTCGACATGGGCCGAAAGGGAAAGTCGTCCAAGTCAAATGCGCTTGCTCTTCAGGTCGATGCCGAAGGTAAGGTCAAGTACGACGCGATCGCCCGCCGCGGACACGCCGACAACCGCACCGTTCATGCCTCATTCAAGGATTTGATCCCGCTCCGACAGCGGGTGGATATGGGGGAGATTTCCCTGGAAAAGCCATCTGAGGAGGAGATCCAGGCTCAAATGGAGAGGACAAAGGCCGCGCTTACAACCTTGGTCGAAGGAGCTTCGTCGGCGCAGAAGCCGAAGAACGTCAAGGGCGGACAACGAGCTGAGCCGACTTTTGTTCGATACACCCCGGCCAACCAGATGGGCAACACCGGCCGCCAGAATGACCGCATTATGAAGATTGTCGAGAGGCAGCTGGATCCTATGGAACCGCCCAAGTTTAAGCACAAGAAGATTCCCCGTGGCCCGCCCTCCCCGCCGCCTCCCGTTATGCACTCGCCGCCTCGGAAGCTTACTGCGGAGGACCAAGAAGCTTGGAAGATCCCCCCACCTGTGTCGAACTGGAAGAACCCCAAGGGTTACACCGTGCCCTTGGACAAGCGTTTGGCTGCAGATGGTCGCGGGCTGCAGGATGTCTCCATCAACGACAAATTCGCACAGTTCGCAGAGGCTTTGTTCACGGCGGATCGACATGCGCGTGAAGAGGTGCAGCTCCGAGCTCAGATGCAGCAGAAGTTGGCAGAGAAGGAGAAGGCACAGAAGGAGGAGCATCTTCGGATGTTAGCACAAAAGGCTCGTGAGGACCGCGCTGGTCCCAGTGCTCGCGTGTCACGGGCTCGTTCCCGCTCTCGAAGTGCTAGCCGCAGCGTATCTGTATACTCCTCCAGGTCTGCTACCCCAAGCGAAGATGACGAAGCCGCCCGAGACCGCGCGGAGCAGCGCCGTGAGCGACGACGCGAAGATGAACGACAGCTGCGCCAGTCTCGCATGGGCACGGAGCGCCGCATTCAAACCATGGCCCGAGAACAAAACCGTGATATCTCCGAAAAGGTCGCGCTTGGTCTGGCCAAGCCTACACAGAGCTCTGAGTCCATGTGGGATTCGCGTTTGTTCAACCGGACCAGTGGCATGCAATCTGGTTTCAATGAAGATAACCCTTACGACAAGCCGCTGTTCGCCGCGCAGGACGCCATCAACAGCATTTATCGTCCCCGTGCACAAGCTGATGCCGATGACGAAGATGCAGGCGAAGGCGAGATGAGCAAGCTTGAGAAGACCAAGCGATTCGAGGTCCTGGGTCGCGCCAAGGAGGGATTCTGTGGCGCTGCTGAAGCCGAGGTAAGCTTCCGTCCAATATACATTTTTCTTTTCGTCGCTAATAAGTTATTCTATAGGAGCGCCAAGGTCCCGTTCAATTCGAGAAGGACACTGCCGATCCATTTGGTATTGACAATATGATTGCCGATGTGACTTCGGGTCAGAAGCGTTATGGGATTCAGGAAGCTGAAGATGACGACCGCAAGTCGAAACGCCCGAGGGTCGACGACGAATGAATCCCCTTTTGTTAATCTTTCTTCCATGTGTCTCTATGTTCTCTCCTTGTCTCTATGCAGGCATCGGAAAAATATCCCCAATGCATTGCGGGCGTTTCTGGCAGTGTGATCCTTACCATTATCTTGTTCACAAAGGGAAATCGTATCAAGCGAGCCACTTGGGCTCGCTTGCATTATATGGGATATGCCGTCTCATTTACAGCTACAATAAAAACATGTTGATCTACGTCTTCAAATCACTAGTAGTATGTTGTATTTCTAGTGAATGTGTACAACAGCTTTCGCACAGGTACGATGAAAGATGTGGGTTGAGGGAATGTATTTGGGTAACTAGCTACATGCACATAGGCAAAGGAGACCTCACAGCAAATGAGGGTTGTATTCCGTGGGACCGTCAATGGCTATGGAGTCCGGATACTCAGCCATGACTTTCTCAGAGAGCTCGCACGAGAACTGGACTTTGATCTGGTAAAACCTGCATAGACCTCAACAACTTGGTAATGTTGATATCCTTGTAGGTAAGGTACCCTGTCCTCTGCCTGCGCTGTCTCATGGGGCTACGGAGAGATGGCGGTCGAGAGGGATGAGGAGAAGAGAAGAAGAAGAGAAGAAGAAGAGAAGAAGAGGAAAGGTGGGAGGAGCCCTTTTATACCCCAAACCCACGTGCCTTCCCAAACTGTGCGGCCATTGTGTTTGCCTGGCTGCCCCCGCCTCCTCAATAGATAGCACTATGTCTTCTACAGGTACACAATACAGATATGTGTATGATTCTTGACTTAATGACATCTGTTTCGTCGCATTGATAACGGACGAGATTATCAATGCAAGTAGGATTAACATGCAGTTTCAATGACTGATGGTCTAAAGCAGCCCTGGAGGCAGCATAACATATTGACACCTCAGCACCCACTCAGTTCTTCACCTCCTTCTTATTGGGAGATAACACACTCTCCAACCACTTGTAAGCCACAGGCAGACTATCAGGGTATCCCATGTGCACTCGGTTCTCGAAGAACCTAGCTTCCTTAGGACCGCCATGCTTGAGAGGCTCCATACAGTCTTCAATCGGGACAACGCCGTCATCCACGCCCTAGAAACATATCAGCTTTGTTTTCTTTCTCGACACGGCTGAACAGGAATACATACGTTGAGCATAAGCAACCGGCAATTATCCTGGTCAAGAATGCCGGTCTCCACGAGCGAGAACTTCTTCTGAGCGTTCTTCACAAACTCCTCCTCATTGTCATAGCCATACTTCTCCGCCATAGCGGAAGTAAGCCTACATCATGGTTAGTATTCCACCACATAAAACCAAAACCCAGTCAGAACTCACACAAACGGATATTCATGATCATTCGCCTTAGCCAACCACTCAGGACTAAAAACAAAGTGCGATCCAGGTCCATGAGCAACAGCCCCGGCAAGACGCGCACGGTGTGTACAAGCCGCGCGGATAGCATAGAAGCCACCCGCACTAAGCCCCCAAGCCGCGACACGCGACATGTCAAACTCCGGCCGCCGATCCATGTAATCCAGAACGCTGGACCAGAGTCTATCGGGCGACTCGGGGTCGGCGGGATCCGCAGGCGAGTCCGCCGTCCCGGGAATCTCAACAATAACCGTCGCCCAGCCGCGATTGATGATCTCGTGGGAGCGCTGGCTGTTGTCAGGCCTATACCCATCAAGCCCGGTCATGAGCAGCACGACAGGGACGCGGTTGGTAGGGCTGGCTTCCTCCGGCAGCCGGATGTACAGCGGGATTGAGGCGCCGTCGCGGCCTGCGCGGTGCGTGTGCGAAATCACTTCCTCCGTGATGATAGGTTTCCATAGTGAGGCGGCTTTCAGGTACACTTGCTTCTGACGGTCGAAGGCGGCACGCTTGATAGATGTCTCGGGGCGTGTTGATGGGCTTACGTAGGGGAAGCGCGAGATGCGGAGGATGACTGCTGCGCGGCGGTACAGGTCTGCGGCGCGGTCGAGGTGGCCGTTGTTGAGGGCTGTGTCGGCTTCTTTCTTGAGGGCTGTGTCGGCTTCTTTCTCGAGGGCTGTTGCTGTTGGGAGGAAGGCTTCGGTGTAGGCATCTGTGTTTGCGTCGTTGATGTTATCCTGTTGTTGTCAGCCATGGGTTTGGGTTGTATTCAATATGTTTGGCGATGCTCACAGCGATCAGCTTTTGGAAAATGGGCTCGAAGTCTCCCACGGATCCATCGTGGAACGGGTAGACGGATTTAGTAGCCTGGTCAATTATCCGTGTTAGTTTCCTGTGTGTTTTCTGATTGTTGCGAAGAGACATACGCAGAATTTCCACTTTGACTCCCATAGGACCTTCATCGATCCCTGATGAGGGTAGACAGTGTCGAACTTGTCTCCGAGAATCCAATTCACCATTTTGAGCGGGATATAGACAAGGTAGATTGATGGGTTTCGTACTGCCTATGGCTTTTCTTTGATGAACTGCAAATTTGAGGCATCTTGTGCTTTTTTCATTGACTTGCCACCAACTGTATTCGCCGGTAGCAGCCATTACCAAGCAAGCCAAGGCAGAATGATGTCTATCGAGATGCAAACAGTAGGTGTATTTGCCGCAAGCCGTAGATGAGACCGGATCGGCAGAGATCTGATGAGGTTGCTTCGAAGACTTCCGGATGCGGGGAGGTGACAGCCAAGATGAGGTAAGGAATGCAGATCAGATCGTATCCTCAGATGTCTCATTACTCAAAATCCCGCTGTCAATTTCTCTTCGCGGCTTCTCGTGGCATTTCTGTCCGCTTTGTCATTATCTAGCCTTAGGTAAAGTGAAATGAACTTGTGTACTCAAATGGTAGAATAATTTCATTCTGATTCTATGGAAAACAACATAGAAACATATATCTAAACAAGGGCAACGTATGATTCAGATGGTAATCGGCCCTGATCCTATACATGGCCTCAAATACAAAACATATATCCGACATCTCCAATTCAATATGGCAATCCCACGAGACATCGATTAGATGTTTGCTCCACCGTTACAAGGCAAAATTTGACCTGCAAATAATTAGCAATATTCCCAGGGGTGAATTCAACATTCCAGTACTCACCGTTGATCCATTCTCCAGCAGGACTGGCCAAGAATGCCACGATGCGGCCAATATCCGCAGGCACACCACAGCGTCCAAGGGGACTACCATTAGCAAGCGCCGTCTCGATATCCTCGATAGAGGAGTTCTGATCACAGCCAGGCGCATAGCGCCACGCGTTGGTCAACCACATATCACTCTTGACACCAGCAGGAGCAATCGCATTAACCGTAGCCCTCTTCTTGCCAAAGTCAGCAGCAAAGCAGCGAGTAAAGCCCTCCACGGCACTCTTGCTGCCCGCATACAGCGAGTGGCCGGGCACACCCAGGCCCGCGGCAATGGACGACATCAGCACGACACGTCCGCCGGGCTGGATGTAGTCGTAGGCATTCTTCGCGACGAAGAACTGTGCCCGAGTGTTGAGGTCGAACACTGCGTTGAAGTCCTCCAGCGTAGTCTCGGACAACGGCACGAACTTCTCCGTTCCGGCGTTCGACACAACAATGTCCAGCTGTCCGAAGTGGGACACTACCTGGCGGAAGAGGTTGGCGATAGAGTCGACGTTTGTCAGGTCGGCTTGGAATGCGGCACCGTGGACACCTTGCGCTTGGATCTCCTGTACCACTGCGTCGGCGGTCTTTGAGCTGCTGGCGTAGTTGATCGCTACGCTTGCTCCCTTCTTGGCTAGCTCTAGCGCGATGCCGGCTCCGATGCCTCGACCACCGCCAGTCACTAAGGCGACTTTGCCGGCGAGCTCGGGCTGGGCAGCGTTGGGGTTTGCGACGACCATTTTGGTGGTTATTTTGATGTTGGAGGGTGTGGAGGATTGTAGATTACTGGGTGTGGAATCGTGTTGAGAGAGGGAACCGTAGTCTAATATTGAACCTGTTAGTAACACCAGGATCTTGGCAGGAATCAGCTGGATGGCTTGGTTCCATCATTCATACCTATTGCAGAGCTGGGCTTTGTTTCCGAATTTGTCGGTGACCTATTACAGTGCCAGTCATTGGGGCCCACAGCCAACATCAGGTCCTAAAACAGAGTAGCTGTTTGCGAACAAGGACCTTGTACCGCATGCGGAAGTCCATGAGGGGCTGTCTCCACCATCTGTCACATTATAATCCCTCGGTTGCATTGTTGTGTTTCCGTGCATGGGAAATATGCTGGCCAGATCCGGGGAATTTGTGGCAAGTGAATAATCACACGGCGCGCCTCGCAGCTATAACCACATCGCGAACTATCTGCAGAAATCAAAGATCGCCGAACAACCATGTCTCCTGCCGTAAAGAACATCACCGCTGAGCCCAACTTGGACATCAGCTTCCAGGGTTTGTTTCAATCCACCCTCATTCACCTGCTTGTGCTAACAGCAACAGACTACCTCATCCTCTCAAAGCTCGTCTTCGACTGGGCAGACAGCTACGATGCCAAGGTACACTTCCAATCGCATTAAAAGTCAATTCAACATTAATCCTGACACTATTCCAGGACTGGGACCGCCTGCGCAGCATCATTGCTCCAACTCTGACGGTGGACTACACCAAGATCGGTCTGAGAAGATGGGACAACATGTCCGCTGACGAATACATGGCCATGATCACCCATCCCGGCTTCCTCGGTGACAAAACCATCAAGACCCAGCATCTGCTTGGTCAGACATGGTGGGAGAAGATCTCCGACACCGAGGTTATTGGTCACCACCAGCTTCGCGCGGCGCACCAGGTCTACGAAACCGAAGAGTTGGAGACTGTCAAGCTTCGTGGTCACTCTCATGCTACGAATGAGCACTACTATCTCAAGATCAATGGTATCTGGAAATTTGCTGGGTTGAAGCCGAATGTGCGCTTTGATGAGTTACGCTTCGACGAGGTTTTCAAGGGTCTTGACTAGGGGTCAATGGGCTTTTGTGAAGGGAAACTGGTACAATTCTATATAGTATAAGAATTTATTTTACTTGGTTTCCATTTTCTGTGAAATTGTTGTGTGTTATGGTAGAGAAATGGGCGGGATCTGGCTTCATGCCTGAAAACCAAGGCCACTATTTGAGGATTCTGGGTTTCCCCACTGCAATATGCTATATTTAGCCACGAGGTACAGCAACATCATCTCTCCAAATCTCAGTCCGAAATAGACAAATCACAGTGATCATAGCCATCATCGCTCACTGATAGATACACCTTCTTCTCTGCCAGTCTAGCCTTCTCTTCTGTTTCAATATACCCCCGCACTTCTTTGAGGGCACAATTCACCAGTGAAGTCAAATTTTCATCATTCGGATGTTGCCGACGAATCTCTTCGAAAACTTCGATACCGTCAGGAGGGTTGCAATCTTGGGGTCCACGATGATTAAAGGCGAGGACTTGCACCGCATTAACCGCGATTGCAGTGGCTTTGAGTATCTTCGCTCTGTCATTTTCGGTATAGACGTTGGAAGGGCCGCAGCTCATCAAGAGCTTAGCAATTGGATATGATGTGGTCAATAGCATCCAAATGGATATATTCTGATCGACAGACTCTGTCAACTTGCGTAGATCATGGAGCAAATGCGTTTTGAGAATATCGGCTTCAGTGGCAAGGGAGACCTTGTTGAGTGGCATCGTATTTCTCGCCCGGTCAATCAAGTCAAGGACAAACTGGCCAGCAGGCATATTCGCCAATGAAGCGATATTCTCCATGCCATACTTAGCATCCGTACCAACTGGGCTTTGTGTGTGGTTTGTTTCTGCAGATGGCTTTGCGTTTGGTTCTCCCGCGACGTTGGTCGGTTCATTCATTGCTGTCGACGAGGAAGCGTCACCACGGCCATACTGATCGTGAAACCTAGTATTGGAGCTCACGCATGCTTGTGGAGATTGGGTTGGCGATTCGACACTTCTTTCAGATAATTTAACCCGAAAGGCCGCGCAATGAGCCCTGCACTGGTAATATGACGGTCTTTGAGGATAATCAGCCTTGAACTCGTAACACATTCTTCAGGGACATACTCATGTGATACCCATGGTGCCCCGAGCAATTCCCGATCGATCTCAGCAAATTCACCCCAGCTGGTCGGTACAAAGAGCCGGGTTAACCTAGGATACCTTTGAGTTACTTGGACGCAAAACGGGACATTGAGTCCTAGGTTGTCGTCTTTGGTTTGCAGTCTCTTTCCTGATTTTGCCCAGTAGATGAAGATTCCGAGTCGGTAATCTCCATCTTCGAAATCCCTAGGTCTGATATTATCGCAACAGAATGCATGTGAAGCCATTGTTTTGGGCGGAGGAGATGAGAGTGGACCCGACGATCTGGAGAGATGTGCAGATCGATACTGGCAGTTTAGGTACCGTTGATCTGTTGAGTTGATCATAATGTGTTCATTCCTTGCTGTATACTTTTAGAAGACCCAATATACAAGTTTGGTTTAGGGGAGAAGGATCCAGGGTACACTTAACCTTTTGTATATCAATCTCTAGTCACTGTATAGACTTCGGGAGTCAAAATCAGCGATACAATTCAGATGTGTCCTCGCACGTGTAGAGGTAAAACAGGCAAGAGCCCACGTTGGGGGTGCCTTCCTGATCAGGTGCCTTCCCTTTTGGTCAAAAATCGTCACCAACCCAATTCCCCCATTTACCTTAAGCCATTGGGGAGGTATAAATACCCCCTCCCCCCCCATTTTCTCTCTTCTTCTTTCTTTCTTCTTCAACACTCCGGGTCCGCACTGCAAATCGCGGGTCCCGTGACATGGGTTCTGTCTCCCGTTGATCTTGATGGCCTCAACATCCACATTCATTCATCATCCATCATGACCTTGCATCGTCCTTCATGATCATCGTCCTTCATGGTCTCAACATCCACAGTCATCATCATCCATCATGACCTTGGCCATTGTCTATCATGACCATCGTCCTTCATGGTCTCAACATCCACAGTCATCATCATCCATCATGACCTTGGCCATTGTCTATCATGATCATCGTCCACAGTCATCATCATCAACCATGACCTTGACCATCCATTATGTCCACCATTCATCATGAGCTTCGACTAGGATGACCCTCCGCCGTGCCCACCGTACCCACCATCACCACCAAGACAACAATATTGACCCAACCATCCACATTCAATCAACCATCCACATTCGACAATCCACAATGCTTCGACCTGAAAGAGGAGGAATGAAAAGAAACGGTCTTGATCGACTGAGTCTCCGCAGGAGTGTCTCTGAAGGAGACTTCTCGTCGGGAAGAGGTTACAGCGTGTACCCATTTAAAGGAGACTCTCGAGACCGTTTGCTGTGGTGGTAAAAAAAAGGTCGCATCGACAAGCAAGCATCGACATTCAAGTATCGACACCCAAGCATCCACTTTAATAACCTTCAAACAACCATCTACATTCGACCACCCACGATACTTCGACCTTGACACAATGCTTTGACCCAAAAGAGGAGGAATGAAAAGAAACGGTCTTGATCGACTGAGTCTCCGCAGGAGTGTCTCTGAAGGAGACTTCTCGTCGGGAAGAGGTTACAGCGTGTACCCAATTAAAGGAGACTCTCAAGACCGTTTGCTGTGGTGGTAAAAAAAAGGGTCGCCTCGACAAGCAAGCATCGACATCCAAGCTCCACTTCAACCTAAGCCACTTCAACTTCCATATTCAAGAACCACTCCGATCAATCTTCACTCAACTATCTACATTCAAGAAACCATCCACATTCGACCACCCACGATACTTCGACCTTGACATAATGCTTTGACCCAAAAGAGGAGGAATGAAAAGAAACGGTCTTGATCGACTGAGTCTCCGCAGGAGTGTCTCTGAAGGAGACTTCTCGTCGGGAAGAGGTTACAGCGTGTACCCAATTAAAGGAGACTCTCAAGACCGTTTGCTGTGGTGGTAAAAAAAAGGTCGCCTCGATAAGCAAGCATCAACATTCATACCATCTCAACCACTTTGACAACAACCTTGACAACCATCCACTTTGACAACCCATCTTGCCCACTTTGATAACAACCTTAACCATCCACTTTGACAACCATCTTGACCACTTTGACAATAACCTTGACAACCACTTTGACAACCATCTTGACCACTTTGACAATAACCTTGACAACCACTTTGACAACCAATCTTACCCACTTTGACAACAACCTTGACAACCATCCACTTTGACAACCCATCTTGCCCACTTTGATAACAACCTTAACCATCCACTTTGACTACCATCTTGACCACTTTGACAACAACCTTGACAACCACTTTGACAACCTATCTTGCCCACTTTGATAACAACCTTAACCATCCACTTTGACTACCATCTTGACCACTTTGACAACAACCTTGACAACCACTTTGACAACCTATCTTACCCACTTTGATAACAACCTTGACAACCATCCACTTTGACAACCCATCTTGCCCACTTTGATAACAACCTTAACCATCCACTTTGACTACCATCTTGACCACTTTGACAACAACCTTGACAACCACTTTGACAACCTATCTTGCCCACTTTGATAACAACCTTAACCATCCACTTTGACTACCATCTTGACCACTTTGACAACAACCTTGACAACCACTTTGACAACCTATCTTACCCACTTTGATAACAACCCTGACAACCATCCACTTTGACTATCGTCTTGATAACAATCTTGCCCACTTTGACAACCACTTTGACAACCTATCTTACCCACTTTGACAACAACCTTGACAACCATCCACTTTGACAACCCATCTTGCCCACTTTGATAACAACCTTAACCATCCACTTTGACAATAACCTTGACCTTTGACTACCATCTGACAATCATCCACTTTGACAACCAATTCATCTCGAGACTTTCGATCTACTATGACAGCTGTGACCACCCACCATGAGACATTCCACTTTGGCTATCCACCATGACCATCATCCACTACGGCCGCCATCCACTACGGCCACCATCCACTACGGCCACCATCCACTACGGCCACCATCCACTACGGCCGCCATCCACTACGGCCACCATCCACCATGGGTCTCCTATCTTGACTACTCCTATCTTGACTACCCACTACAACCACCACCAACCATGAGACTCTCCTACAAGAACCGCGACCATCATTTTGTCATATCACAGAGACACAAAGGTTTCCACGGCTTTCCAATCAACTCTTCTCTCTTTCTTGTCAGCATCAAGTCCCACGGCCAACCTGCAAAGAAGGCCTGCCTTGAGGAACTTCAACTTCTCGGTCAAACCAATATCCACTACAGACCAACCCATACAAGCCAGCAACTCGTGCAAAGCTTCCGGATCAGGTAGTCTCCACTGACTAAGTCACCTTCACCAACAAACACGGGTTGACATCCACAAATCAGAGCTTTCTGATGTCTCATATCATTGTCCAAAGTGGTTCTGTCTGTACGAACCAACGTTTTTATGTCATTGGAAATTAGTTAGAAGAAGAATCAATTTTTGCTATTTCATTTTATTCTTTCTGTAGATTAATATTCACTTTGTCCTAAACCAAATACAAAAGGCAAGATAAAAAGGCTAAGCCTCCAGGGATGTTGATACAAGGGTTTGTCTATTGTCTTCTATGCCTATTATTTACGTTTTCTACAGGAACGATACTCTGTGTGACCATCTTTTGAATATTCATTCCATGACAAGTTTATCCTTCTCTGTCTCCAACAGATAACACAGATTCCCATATAGCAAAAACATCAACTGAGACCAGACATTCAATAGTCACAACCTCCACAATCTCCACAATCTTAGTCAAACAACAAGTAATCGTACCCTCCATCGCAGTCATAGTTGCCATAGTCATAAGAAGACAGTCCCGAATAATAACACCCATGGTCCTCAATATGCAAGTAGCTCTGACTCCCACTGTCTTCATCATGGGAAGTATTTTGAGTCTCAAGTCGAAGCGAAGATGACACAGGCTGGTCTTTGTCGCTATTTTGGTTGGTATCTTCAGTCCCATCATCAGGAGCCACTTCAGGATCTTGGTCTTGGTCTTCTCCATCACAATCACAATCAGAATCCATAGACCCAGTCTCAACAATAATCGAAGACGGCACATGCTTGTCGGAACCCTCAGATCCCCAACTATGTCCACAGCCATATCCTAACTCAAATCCCCACTCAGAGTCGTATCCATGACCCGAGCTAGCTTTTTGTTCGAAACCAGATCCCAGCACAGGCTTTGGTCTTGATGCCGACCCCGGCCTCGTTCCAGATCCAGATGCAGATCCAGGCATTCTCTGCTTGACTGCATTCTCAAGCTGCTTGAGCGGTTTCGCTACACTTTCTCTCCAACGACGCGAGCTCCCCGTGCTCGGTTCGTATATATTAAGATCATAGACTCGACGATGCTCGTGGCATCGGAGGATCTTGCGTCTGTTTCATAATTAATATAAGGATATGATATGATAAAGGGGACGCTAATGGTTCAAGGATTAGTCAACTCACTCGTGAATCTTTTCGAAATTCGCATCCGCAATGTCGTATATGGATACTTCTTCGAAATTCCCGTCTGTATCACTTGGGACGAAGTACTGGATGGACTCTACCGGTCCTCTTTTGGCACGTTGTATGAGCTGCATGCAGACGCTTGATTCGGAGGGATCGATGGATCCTATTGAAGTTTCGGGTGTGCTCAGGGCCCATTTTGTGAATTCTGTGAAGGTTTGTTCGTGCTCTGGGTTTGGGAGCTTTTTTGGTTGGATGGCGCTGCAGCAGAATAGATGGTTTGACATTTTGACGGTTTGGTTTGAATGAGTTCTTATATAGATGATGGTTGGTAGGAGAGAGGATTTATTTCGTGGGGGACTCTGACTATAGGCTGTGTGAAGTCGTCAGGATGTGCTAATTCCCTAGTATTACTGGATTAGGAAACGGAGCTGTTATTCCCATGTCTAGACTTGCGGGTATTATCGGGATGGGAGGTACTATGCCACTTTCATATTTTAGTTTTGGATATCCATGGTAAAAAGTAGGAAGTAGGAAGTTGGAGAGGCATGTGAAGGTCATTCGTATACCGACCAAAAGGCTGGCATTAGATTAATTAGTAGAAAAAAAAGCTGATATACAAGCATTTATAACCTCTAAAAAGACGCAATATCATATCACAGGTGCTGGTATCACTCCCAATCCTTGATCTCAGCCAGGATATCATCATCACTGAAAAGAGTTAGTTGATGAGCACATTTGGGCCTTTAGAATTTACTCACTCAGAGTCTTTTATGGGAGAGCTGTGACCGTTATTAACAACATAGCCGCTATATGTATTCTGGTTCGGCCACGGGCCCTTGGTCGACTCCTCGTGGATAGTGATGTGGTGGTCGTGCGGTTTGTCGGGGCGCTCGACGTAGAAATCGGTGTGAGGGACTTTCCAGTAACCATCTGTGTTGGAGCTAGGAGACGGCTTCGGCACCGCTGCTTGAGACGATCCCTGAGGCTGATTCGCCTCAGCGGGAGCATTGGTGCCCTTGGTGGCAGTATACAGAGCGCCGTGATCGATGATGGGAGGCGTGGTGTCAAGCCCAGTCAGATCAAGGCCATTTTTACCAGCAGCATTTCCACTGACGCCTTGAGGGTAGGCAGCGCAGGTGTCGTAATGGCTCTGCGGGGGAGCGTGCAAGCTGTGCTGGAAGGTCTCGGGGGCCTCGATGATAGTGGCCATGAGACCAGTCTCGACGTGCCACTCGACGTGGCAGTGGAGCATCCAGACACCTGGGTTATCGGCGCGGAAGCGGATGACGGTGTGACCGTTGTTCTGGACCATGATGGTGTCGCGTCTGATCGGGGTGTGGGAGACGTTACTCGATAGACCCGTGTAGAAGCCGCCATCAACTGGGGTACGCTGCAGAACCTGGAATTGGTGACCGTGCAAGTGCCATGGGTGCAGGTTGTTGTGGTGGTTGTTGATGATGATTTCGACGACCTCGTTGTACTTCACGACGAAGGGGTTTACTTGGCCGTATACATCGGGGTTGGAGGAAAACTCGGGACCGACGGTGTTGGCAGTGTAGAGCGATGGCACCTTCGGGGCGATGTACGTCTTGCCGTTGACAGTGAAGCGCGGAACACCGTCTACCAGACCGGCGGCGGTATCCAGAATGATCTGGTGGTCCACGGGCTGCAGGATAGGCTCATGGTCTGCAGGTACCAATGTGACATCATCCACAAAGTCCGTTGCGGCGTCAATGTTATTGAAGACAGGAGGCGGAGGTAGGGGCTTGGCATCGTCGTACACCAACCAGGCGGTAGCATTGGGGTTGTAGTTCTCCGGGATGGTACGATTTTCGAAGATAAACATCATGTTGACATCCATGGTATCCCAAATAGCAAAGTTCTGACTGGCATCAGGTTTGGTTTTAATCAAAACACTCATACGCTGGCCAGTTGCAACGCGCAGGAACTTGTCTCCAGCAGGGTAGGGCTCGGTATAGACGCCGTCGACCTCTACGACAGTCATCTCATGGCCATCGAACACCCAGAAGTGGCCGGGCCAATTTCCAACGCAGATGATGTGAACCAGATACGTCTTGTTGGGCAGAACCTTGATCTTGGTGTTGGTTGAGTCGTTGATCAATGCCGCGTCAGGGAGGGGCTCTTGGCCATGGGAGGCCGCAGTGTTCGTACCGAGCAGCTCCGGCATCTCCTTGTGGTACCAGTCGCTCAGAGTGAGTGTGAATTCATCGTCATAGTGGAAAGGAGGGCTAGGGTCGTGGACAATCAGAGCACCACGGAATCCATCGGGGTACTGGCCCGCGTTGTGTGAGTGGTACCAGTATGTTCCAGTTTGGTTGACCTATCCTGCAGTTAGCATATGTTCATCTTTTCCACCGGGATTACCCACATCAAAGTGATATTGCATGTGTGCGCCGGGGGCAATTGGGCACTGAGTGACTCCAACAGCGCCATCCATAACTCCACTGCCATGCTGGCGCATGCCGTGCCAGTGGATAGCCGTGGACTCGTTTCCGAGACGGTTGTAGACATCGACGATCAGTTGGTCACCCACGTTCACGTCGATCTGCGGGCAGGGCCATTGGCCATTGACACCAATGACCGGGCGCTCAAACCCATCCGGGGCAGCATTCACCCAAGTAATGTCCCATTTCAGGTAAACGTCCTTGGCGGCGGCTAGACCAGCCCAGGTGGCCAGTGCAAACAAACTAAACTTGGCCATTATGGCAGTATTGAACGAGCGAAAGACGATTGGCCTGATTCAGGAGGATAGTAAAACCCGCCAAAAGAGTGCGGTCGAGGCCGAATCAAGAAAGCAAAAACGAATGTCGAAGAACGCGGTTGTCGAATGGGCGCAGGTCGGCCGCTGTGCTGGATGTCGAACGGAAGAAACTGGAAATGGGGCCTCTTTAATCATGGCGATAGAATAACAAAGTGGTCCTGTCGATCTGCAGGGGCCTGAGTATGCTGCTGAAGTCGGATCTCATTTCGACGTTCGCGGGGGTGTCATGTCATTGGCCGTGCCTTCATTCACGACTTGAAGGCTGGGATAATAAACACGCAGTAGAGCAGTATCAGGCTGGACCCTGGGTTTCCATTTTTTTCCTGTTGAAGAATGCCCTTAGGGGGCTGGAAGGGTGGAATGTAGATAGTTCACCGAACCGGAAGACGGTTTCTAACCGCCACGCAAGGGGGCATACTCGAGTCGCACTCGTACTCGACTCGAAGGCTTAGTTTAGAGTAAGCATGGCACGAACTTCCCGTTCTAATAATGTATAGAACTTACACAGCATGGATTGACACCTTTGTGACTTGACAGGTTTAATATTGTGGAGTATCATGATGAAGAAGAATAGTTGCCGCAAACGGATTATCTATCTAGTTGTAGTCTCTTAGTAGTCTCTTATATGTTTTCTCTGTAGAAATCTTCTCCTTGTTAAGTTGTAAGTTCTTTCTCTAAGGAAACTGCGGCAGAAGGCGGAATATGCTTCATACGGCCTTTCTATGTACAACCTTTGACGAATCGACGATATAAGTTTTAGCGAGTCATATAAACCCCGGGAATAAAGATAACTGGGGGTTTCTGATTAAATTATAATATACCTAACATATAGACTTTAGCTGGTTGATTTAAGTTGAAAATAACCTTAAGTCCAACATTATCCTCAGCGCAACTTAGGCAAATCGAATATAAAGCATCTAAAGTAGACATCAAGCGGAAGTTGTATGAACTCCTGACGCGATAAGGCGGAGGTTCCCAATCGGGCTGTGTGACGTTGCAGTGAAATCTCTTTCTTCTGTTAGAGCGGCAAAGAAAAAAAAAAAGGTCTATGGCTTCAGCGCATTTGCTATCGTGTATCCCCGGAAAAGCGGGAGATTGACTGGAGATGTTACCCTAGACAAATCAGATCCCTGTCTGGAGTCCTGGTTCCCATATATGATCCCAGGAGATCTACATCGTACTGTCTGATAGGAGAACAGCCGGGAAACATCGGCGTAGAAGGCCAAGGCCCACAAAAAACGCCCAGGCACGAGAGCGGCTCCCTAATTGAGAACAGTCTGATAAGCTGTGGAGTAAAAATGAAGAGAATTAGTGTTAGTCAAGCGCTGGCGATAACGTGGGAAAAAGTGGGAGGGGGAGAAGTTGAAGAGGAGGAGGGGTTGCCACTATCTTCACTTCTTTTTTCTTCAGAGTCTGAGTCAAAGTCTCTCAAAGAGACCGTCGGCCGATCTACAGTCCCAAATCTTATTCTCAATCTTGACTGCCACTGACGACATATCTGGATGGCGCTTGCTCACCCCAGATAGCATCATCGAGCCTCAATGGCGTAATAGCTGGTTCTTTATTCAAACATCTCTCTTTGCTTCACGACTTGACCTCTTGATATGGATCAATCAATCACCCTCATCGATGCACAAGTGCACTTCCTAGTGAGTCATTCATATTCTGCATACAACATCTACTAACCTAATGCTAGGAAGAATGTGTGGTGCTGGTGCACATCCCATTGGAGCTGTATCCTTACTTCTTAAAGTCTGTTCTAGGACTCATTTTCGATGAAGTCCCTCCACTGGAAGACGAGACAGACCATGCATTTGATTATGAAAATGCTTCTGAGGATGGCTCGTACAAACCACCTGCATTCATGAACGTGTCCATCACGCCAGTGGAAGTCTCCGTCATGTGTCCAAGACGCCTGCTCGACAAATATTTTGTCCCCGTCATGGACCAACTCGACCAGTTGGATGGGTCGCTCCGGTCCTGTCTGATCGTGAGCGAGAATGACTATATCCCCATGCAAGTCCTCGGCGAAGGCCTCGAGGCCGGAAAGCGAGTCTTGGAACTGACCAGTCCACTTGCCCTGGCCGGCATGTATGTGAAGCCTAATATATTCACACCCTATATAAAAAACACCCATACTAACCTCCCCAGATCCATCTTCTTCATCTCAACCTACTTCTCCGACTACATCGTAGTCCCCCAGCAAAGCAAAGCAAGCGTGATGTCCGCCCTGGAAAAAAGAGGCTTCCAATTCAACGACGCCTCAGCAGCCTTCATCACCAACCCGCTCAGTCCCACCATCGAAAGAAGACTCAGCGACCTCATCCCACCGGGCACACCCCCACCCTCAACTCTAGGCGAGCTCCAAACCCGCACCTTCAGCAACCTCCGCAAACACCAAATCACCCCATCCGTAGACAACTCCCTGCGCCTAGTCCAGTGCGCCGCCCACCACGAATACCACAGCCAAGAATCCTCCATGTCCATCCTGCGCGACGCCCTGACAACCGTCCTCCTCGTCGACGAACCCCGCTTCCTCTCCCTAACCCTCGCAGCCCTTGATCCCGCCGCCTCCCTCCTTCTCGAAAAGCGCCTCCTCCCCCGCTTCGCCCGCCACTCCACCTCCGAAACTGGATTCCGCGACTACGAAGACGGCTCCGGCCTCCTCCTCGGCTCCAAGGAAGACCACCTCATCCCCATCACCCTGGACCTACGCGACCTGCCGCTCGAAGCCTCAGGTATCGTTTGCGGCGTGGCGGGTCGTCTCGCAGACGCAGCTACCGTGAATCCAAGCGCCGTCGGCGGCCTCGGCTCCGCGAGAACGTTCGATTCGGTCGGTACTCGGCTCGCGAACGTCTCGCTCGATAAATCATCTCATGCGCTCCAGCCCTTGCCACCCTCGACGCACCATCTCCAGCCTGATGTGGATGTCGCCGATGCGGTCGAGATTAGTTTCTTGAGTACCGCGCGCGCTGGTACCATTATTGTTGGCGAGGATGAGCTGAGGAGGGCGATTGATGCGCTCGAGGAGGAGAAGATGCAGTCGCCTAGGCTTGATGGTCTTTGCTTGGAGTCTGAGACTCCGCCCGATAGTCCGCAGCAGGGTTGAGAGGCGGGTTTACTTGCGGTTTGTGGATGGCAGAGGATATGACTTATGTGTTCATGTGTTGATGTGGTGTATGGGTAGTAAAAGTTCGCTTGTTTTAATATTTGTATGAATAGTTCTTCTTGGTCATGGATTGCTTGAGTTTATTGGTCTGATGTTTACTTACGTCGGTTTGAGATGAAATTGTTGTAAAATGGTAGTCACGTCTGGCGATATATATCTCCAGAGTAGCACCATCATATGTTCAACCCAACAGCACAGCTTAAGATAAAAAGATCTCAAATAACAGAAATAGCAGAAATTGAGATTATTATCTTATTAATTTCATATCTCATTATTAATATAATAGTGCTGGACATACATACAGGTCAAATTTCTCCAACATCTCTCTACTATCCTCGCTGCAGGCGAAGACTTAGACCAACGTAGTAAATGTCTGGTGGTCTGCAGATGTACTTCTACCGATCTTCGCTCTGGCCTTGCTCAAAATAGCCGCATCGCCTGGATTGCAATTGAGAGGTGCTCATCACCAAGCCCATTGAAGCCTCAAATTGAACGAAAATGGTAGAGGGTATGGTAGTAAGACCGACACAGACCTGCTAGTCCATATCAGATTCCACCCTATCCTCGTTTCGGCAGTGGCATAATGCGGCGCGTACGCGGTTCGTGATATTAACGTCAACACGAGGATGACCCCGAGACCTGTCTGAGACAAGTTCATCCGTAGACCCTGACAGTACCTAAACAAACAGTCAGCACAAGTATCCCAACCCACCAAACACCAGTCAGTATCCTCACCATCAGAACACCCAGCAGCCCAATCCCCCACACCCTCATTCCACGCCACACAACTAACAGCTTTAACCTTCTCCCCAACCGGCACAGCAGCAATAACCTCCCCCTTAACAACATCCCAAGCAAACGCCGCCGCCCCCGCAACCCCCTCCTCACTCCCACTCAGCACGACCGCATCCCCCATCGCGAAAACCGAGCGCACGCGCAGCTCCGCATTCCGATACGAATACCGCGGCTTCCCAATCCCACCGACCACCGCCTTCTCGCCCCCAAACGCATTGAGCAACTTCCCATCCATGCGGTCCAGCAAGCGGATATACCCGTCCAGCGTCGACGCCAGCAGCGCGTTCCCGTCGCTCGAGCAGCGCACGCTCGTCACCGGGTGCGCGAGGACGTCGACGGTTGTCTTGCCCGTGCGGACGTCGTAGACCCGCGCGTGTCCGTCGTAGCTGCCGCTTGCTATCGAGTAGCTCGGCATGTGTACGTGTAGTGTGGAGACTGTGTCGCTGGCTTCCGTGAGCGTTTGGATGGGTTTGTAGCTTGTGGACCGGGTATCCCAGAGGTTGATTGTTGTGTCTGCGCTACCTGGAGGGAGGGAGGATGTTAGGTTAGGATGCTAGGTGGGATGGGAAGGGAAGAGTGTGGGGGTGAGGGGACTCTTACCGGTCACTACGACGGAGTCCCCATCGCCGCCAAATTGCACGGCTTCGACTCGGCTGTTGTGGCCGCTCCAGCGTTTCGTCGTGATGCCTTGCTCTACATCCCAGAGGAAGACTTGGCGATCGCCTCCTACGCTGGCGAAGCGCGCGTTATCGGCTGTGACGGCGATGTCGAGGACAGAGTAGCCATGTGCTTCGTATTTTTGGATCGGAGTCGTCGTCTCGACTACGGTCGGGCTATTGGTATTGTTTGGAACGGCGCGCGAAAGGTGTACTGCTCGGTCTGAGGAGCCTGTGAGGACATAAGTGCCGCCGGAGCTTGAGAAGGTTACCGCGTTGACGGGGCCTAGATGAATGTCAGTGCTTGTGCTTTGGAGGTGATTTGGTTGCAACAGCCCCTAGATAATAAGAGCTTACCATTGTGTGTTTTAAGAGTGTGGATATGCCTGGTTGGGAATATTGTCCGGGGCATGGCCGTTGAGTTGTTGGTGGAGAGAAGGAATCGGAGTTTAAAGATGCGGGAGCTCGGAGCTTCAACTTTCAAGTCTACTTAAAGAGTCCTATCGGAGGGGAAAAAATACTACTTTA